CGCGCGCGAAGTTGCGAGTCTGGCATTGTTGAAAGCCGGTCGGGAAGTGTCGAGTAAGGTCAGACTTTATCGCGGATTCTCCACTACGCCCGATAAACATTCACGTGCGAGAGGTCTGAATACGATAAAAAAAAAAACCTGAGCATCGAGAGATGTTCCTCAAAGACACAAGGAGAGAAAAGAAGCGGTGAGAGAACGGAAGCGAGATGGAGAAAAGAGCTTCGCTCCGCGAAGGTGATTCATTAATCCGTACAACACGGAAGTGTTTGGACCATGCGGATTCTCGATTCGTGTTCTTTGTCCTCCGTGCATGCACTTCGCAGGATCTCTGAGATCCTGCGTGCGAGGCGCTTTGTGATCCTTATTACACGCGCAACACGGGGGCATTTCGAACGAGCCGAACGTTTCGGGACTGGAATCTTCTTTAGTTCCCGTCTTTAGAAGACAGAATATACTGCGATAATTCTTTCCTCGATCGCGAGACGGACCAGTCCGCCTTAAATAGAGAGTGAGAGAGAGAGAGAGAGAGAGAGAGAGAGAGAGAGAGAGAGAGAGAGACGCTCTCGCTTCTCTAAAGCCGTAGTCATCCACCCCGCGAATGGTATCCCGCAGGTGGAGCGGATGTAAAGCGCGGCTCGTGAGCGCGCGACGAAGCAGAGAATGGGTAAAGGCCCCTCTTAATCCCGCGCCGCGACCCGTTACCCCCTGTAGCTAATCTAGAATTTATGCCGCCTGTAACTTACCAAAGCGCACTTTATTACGTCCGGAATACGAGAATTCCACCTGCCGCGTGTGCGACGACGCCGAATAGGTAACCCGACACGCCACGTAACGTGAATTCATGGTCACGTTACAATTCCGCTCGATTCCATTAAAAAACGTTCGCTGTATATTGAATTTTACGTCGCGCTCACGACACTAAATGTCTCCTTAAACTGACGTAACCCTTCTTCATCGAAGACTTTTGAATGTATTGCAAATTTCTTTCAGCAACAGGTGTTGCATTCGAGAGAAAAGTGTCTGTATGTAAATGCGCGCGCACAAACTCAAGTTCGCGCAATTGACGATTCCACATATATATATATATATATATATCGGCAAAAGCTAGAGCTTGTATTATATCCGTGCGAGAGTCCAGGCTTCGTTGTCGAAGTTGTCGAAGCGATTAACTGCACAATTTCCACGAACTCACACTTTTACACCGTGAAACGTTAAACGTCACCCACACACGCGCGGCTATATTATCTTCTCTTCGGTTAATATCGCGAAACACCGTTTCTTCGAATATTGCGAGTGATAATTACTTCGGTGCGTGTAAAGTCGTTGCGTTTTCGCTGAACGAAGTGAACGTATAATGAACCGTCTTTAAGACCAAGCGTCTCTGATTCCGTCGAAACGTCTATTTCGTAATCGCCTTCTCACGCACCACAAGGACCGCGAATTCTGCAGATTGCTTTTTGTGCGCGCTTCCTGGTACGCGTATGAGTACGCTCATTTTACAATCGACCGGTATCCCTTTTCGGTATAATCCGAAGAAAATCTACCGACATCCTTCGCGGATTACACTGCAACGACGCTCGTAATCGGTCGCTGCCGAGATTTCTTCGCGCACAAGCAGAACACGTACGAAGGCACTCTCCTCCCCTTCCCTTTCTCTCTTTCTCTCTTTCTCTCTCTCTCTTTCTTTCTCTGACTCGCGATCTTCAAACGCGATCGTTTAGCACAACTTGCCGGATAATAATCGACCGATTAGCTGTATCGTATACACGGAAACTCTCCAACTCATAAACGATCTAATTGCTCACGTCGTTAGTTAAGCTCGAGTAAGTCGTCGGATGAGATACGCGTCGATTACATGTGTACGCACTAATTGATATGCTTTGGCGGCGGTAACGTTTCCACCATTGCCACCAAACGTTACGACTTTCCTTGTGGCGTTATCTTGTATTATGCTTTACGATACTATCGCTCGCCAATTACGTTATCGCTATTACACCGCCAATTATGTTAAAGGAAAAGCTTCTGGCTGTGAAGATTTTCTGTGCGTGTATTAATTATTGCACGATGTTCGGACACAACCCAGTGAAATGTCAATAATATTCGCATTCATATGTCGTGTACGGACAAAGCACGGAGATTCTATATATATTTTTTATATATTATATATGTGTGTGTATGTGTATATATACATATATATGTACGTATATATTACAATATAGATATGTATTATAACCGATCTCGACGACAGAATCAGCTTTCTCAGGCAAGCGATTTGCCGTTATCTTCTGTTTTCTAAAGATGTTTGTTCGGTATCTGTTTTCGATCTGTACAAGGTCGATTTTGATGTTATAAAACTGCTAGTCGATCTTGGATTAACACGTGTATTATTGCACGATGCTCGGACAGCCCAGTGAAATATCGGTGATATTAATGCATTTATATGTCGTGCACGGACAAAGATTTTATATATAAGATTTTGTACATATCTTTTATAGATCATATATTATATATATGTGTATATATACAGGGTGTCCGACAATTACTTTAGCATCTCTCGTAGGCAGGTAGAAGGAGTAAAACTGAGTCGAAAAGTCCTGAACCAGTTTTTTCTATTGCATATAATAAAGGAGTAATTATTGAATAAATCAAGCCAATCAGCGCCGACCTTTAGCCGGGCGCACGTCAGTGAGCCGCGCGGAGCGCTCACGCACACTAGGCGCGTGGTTCACTGACGTGCGTTCGGCTAAAGGTCGGCGCTGATTGGCTTGATTTATTCAATAATTACTCCTTCATTATATGTAATAGAAAAAATTGGTTCAGGACTTTTCGACTCAGTTTTACTCCTTCTTACCTATGAGAGATGCGAAAGTAATTGTCGGACACTCTGTATATGTGTACATATACATATATACATATATATACAGGGTGTCCCAGAATTGCCGTACAATCGCTCGTAGGCAGGTAGAAGAAGTAAAACTGAGTCGAAAAGTCCTGAACCATTTTTTTCTATTATTTATAATAAAGGAGTAATTATTGAGTAAATCAGGCCAATCA